ACACTGAATTAGAAAGAACAGTTTTTGCCCCAAGAAGGCAAATCTGGATGAATCTAGACTTACTTCATGACCAACGAGCACTTCTTTATGAACATAAATCTAAGAATCGTGGTCAAACAAGGAAATCTTGTCAACTTGCTGTTCTTGTCTTCTGGGGAGGAAAGTGCTGGGCGCCGTTGTTCTGGAAACGAACCAGTTTGGCAGATATAACATGTCATTTAGGAAGTCTGACAAAACATTCAGAAGCTCCCATAACGCGGTTACTTATAAAAAACGGCATCAGACAACAAATAATTCAAGTTTAGCCGATGATGTGGAAACTAATATTAAGGGGATTGTTTTTAACAAATGCAGAAATCTAGCGTAAAAACGCTTAGCTTGAAGGTTTGTCATGGTGAGCCTGAGAGCTTTTTGATGCACTCTATCGTCGAGTGAGAAGAAAATGTTATCCAACGCAATAGAACACATTTATGATAAATACATTCACCAATACCAGAGCTATTTTAGCTCTCTCACGACTTTGAAGCTCACACGATTACCACAAAAATACCCAGCTAAGGCCATGTTTTGTCTTGCACTTTAAAAAAACCATCAAGAGTTTGGATAAGCTCGGGTTTCTACTTTTTTTAAACTTGATAAAGATATATACACACTAAGCAAACTGATTTATAAGCATTATAACAAATACCAGAATCACTTCTCAGCTAACCACAATGTAACGTGACATTTGATCACTATAGTGTTACGCATTATTTAAGGATGACTTTTGCCCTGTCTGGTAGTCAACAAAATTGCTTCACTTTTTTTACCACAGAAGGATTGAAATCTGTATGTCTCATCTGTCCAGCTATGACAATAAATGCATAAGCGCGGTTAAGTTCAGGGACTTCGTAATTTCTCCTTCTTCCTGTTCACCACTTTCAATAGCACTGCTTGTGGAAAGTGTGTGCTTTTTAAACTTTGATTTGCTCAGATTATATTATCATAGATTTTGCGGACAGCCCTGCAAGAAATATTCGAATTCTGTTTCTCGCTATAGTGACTAGTTATCTTTTCCATACTTTGGCCCATTTTATTTGCAAACTTGTCAGGAAATAGCAACTGTATCATCAGTGTTAATTCAGCAACGAACCAAAATAACAACTTTGAGAGGTCAGATTTAAACGATTATTTTTGCTCAAATGAGGCGTCATTTAGCGGAGTTGGTAATATGTAGGCTGACATCTATCAGATACTGTCTATAACACCATTTTCCGATGGGTCTTTCCAATTTTTTATTCAAGCTTTTGAAAACCAATAAAAAGGCGTTAAAATGCCATTTTTGATCCACAACTATTTTATTTCATCAATTTCTGCAGCTATTGGGCTGTTTGCAATATTGGTTTTCGTGAGATTCGCAGCCTCGGTAAATTGTGGTAAATCATAGAAATAAATTGCTCAAAATCGATATAATTTTCATAAACCAAGCGTTTTAAAAGAGGTGATGTTGGTCCTATAACTAGTGAAAACAGTAGTGTAATCTCATATTGCTGTAAGCAATTAAAGGTATTACAAAATGCATGAATTTGTTGTCCTTCAGAGTACTCAGTATGAATTTCGTATCTTTATCTCTTCTTCTATCAAAATTTTCACCGCGGTCTTCTTGGCCTGGGACGTTGCATCCTGAGCTCGTCGCGTTGCCTTGGAAGACTATCGCGAGAACCGGTGCGTGGTGCGAAGGTAGGACGTTGTACTTTGATGCTGTCGCGAGAACCAGTGAGACGTCCGAAGGTAGGACGTTGTACTTTAATGCTGTCACGAGAACCGGTGAGAGGTCCGAAGGGAAGACGTTGTGTTCTAGTGCTGTCGCGAGAGATAGGAGGTATGACAGGAGGACG